GTTTCTTTCCTAGAGGCCAGAGGAAGGGTAGTATGATGCTGAAAAGCTTGCCTATGTCTAGCCCAACCATAGAGTTGGTTCAGTAAAAGGTACCGCCCACAAGAATTCTTACCACTCTTCTATCTAGGCACTCTTACACTTGTGGTCATGGTATGAACTTTGTGAATCAGAAAAAAGAGAAGATCCAGCATGCTATTTATCACAGGGACACACTGATTTTTTTTTTTTTTTTACAATGTCTATCAGGGTTATAAATATTTCTAAAACACTAGAACTACTCAGCCTTGCCCAGTATTATTATTATTATTCCTGTTATTATTGAACAACTTTTCCAAACACTTATTTGACTGAATGCTATTCAACAGAAGGTAGATTCAGGTGCTCATGTCAGACTCGGAAATACATTTTGTTTAACCAATGAACTTCTCCTGCAAAGTCCACGCAAGGGTCTAGTCTTGAGGTATATGCTGGAAGGGAACTAATTCTATATGGAGCTGGGTTGGATGAATTTCTTCCATTTCAGTTTTCCCAAGTTTAACTTAAACAAACTGCCCAAGCATGGCATTCCATTATCAGCTGCAATATTTGTTTGTATTTGCCTCTCCAAATTCAGGGTAGGGACTTGAGCTAGGCAGACTAGAGCATTTGGAACAGTGTCCCATCTTTCAATTCAGAGCCCAGCCCCAATGTCCAGGACTGATGGACACTTTGTTCATTAAGTACTGTTGTATTCATGACAATTCCTTAAGTCTCGAGTGGCCATGCCTCAGTCATCAAGACATCTATAGTTATTTATCCTTAAAAACACAGGAAGGCACACATCACTCCTCATCATTCTCATTTTGATTCCTATAGTAAGAGATTCAAATTGCTCATATTTTATCCCAAGGGCTGCATTGTTTAATCTTCACAAGCTACCACCTACTGACATACTGAAGAAACTGCATGGCTTATGTATGAGGTCTCAGCCACCTGAACACGTCAAACCCTTATCAAAAAGGAACAGGGCTGATGAAACCCTAAGGAGAGGTACCGATGGCTGTTGGTACCCAACTGTAACAGTGAAGTTTCTTTTAGCAGGTGCAGCCTATCCTTCTTTGTCCTGAAGAATCATTTTTCCTATCTCCAAAATAAATACAGTTAGAAGAGGCAAAGAGAAGCATTTTTTTTCAGAAGGGAGGTTGGTGGGAAAGTGGGGGAAAAAAAGGGGCAACTTCTTCTAGCTTCAGCCTCTTCCCTTTTCATAGTGGAAAAACTCAGACTTTACAGCAAACAGCTAAAGGGGCCCTATTGCGGCCCCTTACCATTCTTAGCTCCAACCTCCCCAAGCCAACATATATACAAAATGGATAACACTTATCATAATTTCTTTCAATATTGCTTGTTTCCTGTAATACTGTTCTTCAGCACCACAAGGACATTTTGTCATTTCCAATTTTACGCTGATTTTTCCCACTTCCGTTAAAATACAACCCATGCTGTATTGTTCTTCTTTATAACGGCATGCTTTGTCCATAAACAGGTATGCTAGAGAATTAAGTCCTGTTATTGAGTCTCTAAACTCTCTTTGTACTTTAGCACAAGGCTATTTTGCATTTCTTTTGAAGACCTGAGTCATTCAGATGATTTATAGCTTTACATAACTATGAAACATACAAAATGTCTTCCATTTAGTGTAGGAAGACTTGCACGTTGTAGATGTAGAACAATCGAGATACATGTCGGTTACTACTTTAGTCCCTGTGCTTTTATGGGCACAGACAAATGTTAGCTTAGAGAGGTTTCAGAAGGGGAAGGCAAGCTGATGCTAAGGAGTATAAAGCAGCTTTTATGCTCTAATGTTATGTGTGCAGGAGGCTGGAGCTATACAAATGAACTAAATCATTTCAAGTTTAATTCTGGATGAAGCAGGGTTAGTTAGACTAGTTCTGGCGCATTGGTATTGCTACAGGCTCCTGCAAAGGTAACTTAAAGCAGTTCCCCCTCTCTTTTTGAAACCACTCCAAATAGGCCCATACCCCAATGTTGCACCCTTTTCCCTCCCACTCCTGGTCAATTTTGTAGACTGTAAGATCTTTGGGGCAAGGTCTGTCATCTTGCAGGCCCAATTACCCTCGCACAGATTTTACACCTGTGAAACTCCACAAGTAACTACTAATTTGCACTGACGTAACCTAGAAGAGAAGCAGGCAACTTGCTTCTAGGCAGCCTGTTCCTAGGTACCTTCTGGGTGCAGGCAGGTATAATGTATGACGAGGCATGAACTTCAAAAAATATGATCACATAGAGATGTGAGTGTCCTGGCACATTCCAGTGTTAATTTAGAAGGCAAAATGTTTACAGTTGTGAAAGGGCATTTAATCATGGAATCTTAATAATCCAGCAGAGACCATCCAATTTGATAAGGTCTGAAGGATTTATCAATGTACCCATCTTAGATGACTTTCAGATCATATAAGCATTTCTCAGTGCTCTGCGGAAAAAGCCTTATTAGGTCAGGGACTGGGATGACCCCTAAAGGGTGCACCTCCACTCTAGTCTTAGTCAGTGATACTATATTTGTTTTTACCCAGCCCCCTCTACCATCCACGCACACAACTTTCTAAGGTGCTTATTTGCATTTTGAATCCTCACTTCCTCGCGCAGCTGGTGATGCAGGTTTAAAGCCCAAGCTCTGCTTGCGCTTTAGCCCACACTGGAGCCAGCTCCATCACTGGAGGAAGAACAATTTTCTGTTGCCCTTGTCAAGATTCCCTCGTCCCACAGGGGGACAGAAATTTTCCTGCATTTGCCTGGGGAAGACTCCTAGAACACATCAGCACAAAAACCTGTGATGTTTCCCCTGACTCCTCCCTCAGGTGAGTGTGCAGACAAAGAGGATGCAGTAATGTGAACAGGACTTTGATGTTATACTATACTCGTGATCTCTAAGCTTTTAAGGATTCAAGGCACCCCTTGGAAAATGCCAGCTCTTAGCTTTTGATTATTTTTAACAACAGAAAAATAATAGAGCAATTCTTCTGCAAAGAACATAGAAAGACCACAAGCAAGTCATAAGGGCTTTGACACTGTGGATTCCTATTTGAAACCTCTGGCTTTATCCTCTAAATCATATGCATCTGTTTGAACACCTAACAGTGCTAATATTGTGCAACACCCTTAAAAGGATCTCAGCACTCTGATCAAGAATCACTGGCTTACACAGTGGGAAACATGGGTGATCATATCTAGGAGCCAATCACCAGGGTGCCCTGTGCAGTCCAGACACACCCTGGGTGTAGGTTTTTCTCTCCAAGCTCAGGTCAACAGAGCTAAGACTTTGTTCTATTCCCATAGGCTGGAATTACTGACCATCAAGCCTTGTTTCATAAAAGCATGCAAGTCTGGTGCCTGGCAGCCAGAGACCAGCCCACAGAGGACCCTAGCCAGGAAGCACCAATGTCTACAGGATGAAGCTGGCCTTTATCATCCAGACAGGGCAGGCTCATCCCTGTGCAGAGGCCTTCCAGGTGAGTGAGGAGTGATGTAACAGGACCAGGGAGAGATGAGGCATCCACATAGAGGGGGAAGGGTTAAGGGTCCCAACAGAAGAGGCTGGAGGGCAGAACAGGGACTCTAGCTTCCACAGGCAGACCATGCCACATTGTCTGACTCTCCCAATGCCTTGCTCCCCACCCCCATTCTATCCTGCCACAAGGCCCAAGACAGGTCTAGGCTTTGTTGGTGCTGTGCAACTAGATTATAGTGCTCACAGCACAGCACAGCAGGGGTTTTTACCCTCTGTGCAACAACAATTCTAGATGGCTGGGAGAAGTTACTACATCACAGTTTTCAAGGCCCTTCCCATGTGACCCTGCTGGGTGGATGAAACACCCACAAGGCATCCACAGGAGAGTCCCAGGCAGGCGCATGTATTTTGCAAGATCACAGTGAAGATGGCCAGAATTTAAGTTCCAACAGATGACAACTGGGCTATAGCAGCATATCCAGGCTCCAAAACCTAAGCCATGTCACAGGCAGTGGTTTGGCAGTCAAAGATGCACATTTCTTCCACTGAAGCAGAGGTTTCTATAGTACTGCCAGACCCACCAGCATAACAAGCAGACATTGCAAAAAATCATGAGATTTAAAAAACACTCCATGATTTCTGAACCCAAAATTACTGTGCTTTGTTCTGTCTTTTTCTTGAACTCTCCCTGCCCACCTCCAATGCATGGGTGGCATTTACAGTGTTGTCAACACTGATGTTTATAATTACCTAATTTTGGCCCCTGATACAGGAGCTCTTTCTGACAGCCTCCAACTTCTCCCTGAACCTTAGATTTTTAATTAACTGTCTGCATCCCATCAGACCAGACCAGCAATTATCTACCCCCACAGCCCTCACCAATCCTGACCCCTGAAGTCCCTCAACATGTGCCTGTTCTCCAACCCACTGTAATGTTAAGCACTCCACTGTCCCCACATCTATTCCTTGTCCTGTAGCACACCTCTACTTCTCCCACAGATCCCCAAACTCCCTCATCCAGGGATCAGCAACATACAGTCCATAGGCTGGATCTATCCTGTGGAGCCATTTGACCCAGCTGGTGGGGGGGAGAGCAGAGGGGCTTTGGCAGTATTCAACAGCAGGGGGCTTCAGTAGTGTTCAGCAACAAGGGCTTGTTCCATGCCAGTGGGAGAGAGAAGTGACAGTGGCAGAGAAGTCCTAGCACCCATCTCTCTCTGACCTAAGCTGGGTCACTCTGGCCTATGGTCGGAAAAGTTGTTGACTGCTGTTTTAAGCAACGGTTGGAGTTCAGTTAAGACATCCAATGTGACCTTAAACATAACAAGGACCAGGGGACAGCCAAGAAGCAATTATAATGCTAGTTATACACGGTGACTCCTGTCATCCAAAAGGATCACAAGGTGCTTATGAGTTGATATTCTATTCCTCTCCAAAGTGATGCTGCTAATCAGTGCACTGCAATACAAAGTTTCATAGTTGAAGACTAGGATGTGAGGAACAGCACATTTAATTGTGAATATATAAACAATTTCAACTGGAATTTGGATGCAACAGTAGGATCCAAACTGCTATTCTCAGGAAAAGTGCCATAGCATCTTTATTGCTATGAACTAGACAGAACTTGGGTTCGTCTCCTGTGAAAGACAAGACTTTGAGCACCACAGAGTACTGGCTCAGTACTAAGTAAGAGGAAAGAGCACCATCTCCTGGTTCATCAGAACTACATCCTGCAGCATCTGGGTTTTCTATGTACATCTGAGTCAAGTACTGGTGTAGCTCAACCCTGGTTAACTTGATGGCTCAGACAAGGTCACAGTAGGGGGTAATCCTGAAAAAGTGTTCCAGTACTCATGGAAAAGTGTTGAAGAGGTTTCATCCCAGACAGCAGTACTTAAAAGCCTTTCAAGAATATCTGAGTGTGTAGCTTGTGAAAACAATTAAAAAAAACAAAAAGTTAGAAAGGGCATCAGAAACCAGGCATGAAATTTAATTTTCTCTCTCCTTTGCTTGATAAACGGGCAGAGAAAAAATTATTGGTGGAAGTTTACTAATTAGTGCTCTCCCTGGGTGTGGAAATGGCTGGCAGAAGAGCAGCCAAAATGATGGGTCAGTCTGACAGCTCATCGTTCACCAGCACAGGAAATCGTTCGCCATCTTCACAGAGTAGAGTGTAAACAGCACGGTAGAGATGAGAGACAGAATCCTTGTGATGGATCCTGTATTCCAGGACTGGAAGAAGCTCGGTTATCATGACCTGGGTGGAAGCAAATGAGAAACAGCACAAGGTTGAAAAGCAGGCACGTTTCTAGGGCCTCCAAGTGGCTGCAGGATATTGTAATAATGATATACAAATTGCTAGAGGATGGCTCTCCTGTCAGATTTAACATTGTCAAAATTGTCTGTTCTCAGCTCCTTGGAGATGTGCTAAGAGGTGCACAGTTTCCCCACAGTCAATCTTTAAAACATTCCCATGGGGATGCACAATAGAAATGACATCACTTTTCAGCACATGGCCATGCTACTTTCAGCCAGATGACCTGGCATTGGGAGGAGTTCAACTCATTCTGGGCCATCAAGACTCACGACCTTGTGCTCCAGTTGCAAGATGTAGGTCTTTGACCTTCGCTTTTCCAACATATATGGAGCAGAGTGCACTTTTAAAAAACACTCTACCAAACCCCATTCCACTAAACACCCTATTCTCCCGTAAGGTGTAAACAGAAGAAGTGACTGCAGGTAGTGGACACTAGTCACATCACTTAGTGTGCCACTGGAAGATGCTCAGATACACTATAAGTGTGATGCAGGTTTTTATTCCCAAGGTGCTCCACCTCAGGAATAAAAACCTGTATCACACTTATAGGCTTGGCAATGCTAAGCTCAATAGCACCATGACCAAAAGAGATTTGGGAGTCATGATTGACAATAAGATGAACATGAGCCACCAACGCAATACCGCAGTTAGCAAAGCAAACAAAACTCTGGCTTGCATCTACCGATGCATCTCAAGCAAGACCCAGGATGTCATCCTCCTTCTGTACTCGGCCTTGGTGTGGCTGCAGCTGGAGTACTGCATACAATTCTGGGCTCCACAATTTTGGAAGGACGTGGAGAAGCTTGAGAGTCCAGAGGAGAGCCACGCACATGATCAGAGGGCAAGAGAACAGGCCTTATGAAGAAAGGCTGTGAGCCACAGGACTCTTCAGCCTGGATAAGTGCAGGCTCAGGGGTGATTTCGTGGCAGCCTATAAGTACATAAGGGATGTGGCATCAGGATCTGGGGGAATGCCTGTTCACCATAGTCCCCAGGGGATGACAAGGTCAAATGGTCACAAACTCTTACAAGACCATATTAGGCTGGACATAAGGAAGAACTTCTTACTATCGGAGCCCACAAGGCCTGGAACAGACTACCCCCTAGAGATGGTGCAAGCACCTACTCTGGACACTTTTAAGAAGCATTTGGATGTTTATTTTACTGGGATCCTTTGACCCTAGCTGACTTTCTGCCCCTTGGACAAGAGGCTGGACCCAATGATCTTACAAAGTCCCTTCCAGCCCTAATGTCTAAGAAATCTAATTGAGGAGGATAAAGAGAACCTCTACAGCAGATGTGTCAAACAGCCAGTGAGCTAAATCTAGCTTGTGGAACCCCATAATCCAGCCTCTGGTGCTATTCTGTTGACTAATGACCTGCATTAGACTAGCCTGGGATGCACAGTGCCTCCTGGGGCCAAGTCCTGGGTTGCACCATCTGTGGCACTTACTGAGACTTGGTGGGTATCATATATGCTGAATCAGCCATGCAGGCATGTGGGTCTGTGGACTGGCCTGTGCCACTTATCCAGCTCATGGGGCCAGATGAGTTTGACACTGCTGCTGTAGAATATAGCAGATAGGACAACAGCCAGAGAACCAGAAACTCAGCTGCATGATTCCAAGCTCATACCAGTAATTTCCTCTCCATGCTGTTTCCACACATGTAAAGTGTGGACAGAATGTTTATTGACCTTCTGCAAAGAGCTTTGAAGCCTATAAATGTACAAAACCTTATGTGCATAAGGAAATACTGAACATGTATATCTATGGGACAGAAACCACTTTTTAC